GCCGCAGCACTGACCTCCTGCCGGCTGCAGTGAGTGTTCTCGAAGCCCACACAGCTCTGCCCATGCGGCCTCCATGGCGCCGTGTGTCCTCCAGCTGGCATGGAGCCTGAGGTTCCTCTCTCTCGTTTCCCATGGAGGTGTCCCAGGCCTGCTTCTCGAGAAATGCCTACTCAGAAAAGGCACTTTAGCAGGAATATGGGACCTTCAGCAATGCCATTAATCTGTGTATTATCTATAGCTGCTGATATACTGAGGACTTCATCAATTTCATCAGTTAAGTGGATGTCCCAACTACCTCAGACTTCTCAATGCCCCCTGACTAGCTAATGGCAAATGCCATGCTCTTTTTTCTGCTCTTATTTAACTAATGACTCAAACTTCACTTTGCAAAATAATGTGGCTTTTTGGATTTAAAAAAAAAATTTTTTTTCATTGTTCCCATGATGTGTTCAATCTCAGTGCTGCAGTTCTCAGGTTGCCTTTCTGACACTCCCAGTACAGCTGCTACAGAGGCAATTCCGAGGAAGGACTTGGAGGAGAAACGGCAGAACTGATTGCTGTCTTTTGGCAACCTCAAATCCAGCCTGGTGAATGCTGCAGAAACAGCCTAGTGGCATTTGTATGTGGTGCTTGGAGAGCCTACCCTCACTGCCATGATGAGGAAGGGGTACATTAAATATATATATATATATATGTAAAATATATATAACATACAGATACAGAGTTAGTGCCTTTCTACCCTGTCAGCTTCCTCCCACCACAGGACTCCTCCATTGTAACCTCATCCTGAAGAGATGCAGTGACCTCATGTCAACCCAGTAGTTAAGTCTGAAGTTACAGCAAGCTGCTGTAGCTGTTTTTCCTTTGCATTTCTCAAAAGAATATCTGAGAGTTACTTCTTTGCTTTGCCTTCTAGGGTATATTTCAAATCAAAGGAATGACAGAAGAGACAGATTTCAAATGTGATTTAGCCAGGAAAAAGTAGAGACAGTGTAGTGTTTTTCCAGGTACATTTTTCTCCCTTCATATTAAATCATTTTCTGATTTTACAGCTGCAATTTGGCATGAAAATTTACAATATTTTTCTGATTCGTTCATTTTTACCAACTTCCATTTGTGGGATTGGGATGTAACAGGTATGCTGCTGTTGAGGTGAAGCGTTAAATATTAGTACTGTTGGACTAGCAAAATGTAGCTCATCTGAGTAAAATATGTGCGGTGCCAGACCAGGCACTGGCTTTAATCAGGTTCCACTGAGTTTAGCTGTGGTTCTGCAACAAACCAGGGGGAAGATAAAGCCGTATGCAGGTCAGAACATTGAAATCCAGAACTTTTGTTTCATGTAGAAATCTCAACATTTCAGAGGGAGCTCAGGGAGTTCACTCCAGATCAGAACAAATATTTTGAAAAATTCCCATTAGATATTTCTCCCCCCTTTTTTTTTACCAAATGAAATATAATTTTGTTCTGGCATGTCACCATTCGTAGTGTGTAGTAGGAGCATGTCATATTCTGCAGTTACATCAAATATATTGCAGTGTAGCAAAATGCATTGCATTTTATGTTCACAATTTAGATCTATTTTAATCCTCTCTAAATTTGTCTTCCCTCTAAATTTTTCTCTCTGTAGTTATAAAACCAAGACTAGGGGGGTACATACATGGACACAGTTGGGATGCAGTCAAGCTAATATAGATAATAAAAAAATGAGAGGGAGTTTGGATCCAAACAGGCTGGGACCCTCTGTGCTAATTCACCAGCAGCAGCCTTGGGAAGGGGGGTGATGTGAGTTGCCCAGCTGCAGAAACCACTGGGTGCACCTCACGGCTTGTGCTGTCCAGGGAATCATTTGTTCAGGTCTTCAGTGTTCTATTTAACTTATAATGAACTAAAATCTTAAAGCTGCAAATGCTCAGCAGCTCTGAAAAATACATCATGCTCTAGACGGCTGACTGCACAACCCACATTGGGAAATACTGAAAATCTATTCAAGGTATTTTTGAATGGCTGCGTGCAAGGCAGTGGGAAAAGCACGGGTGGGAGGCTGCCACAGCGGCATCCTGCGCTAAAGATCAGGTGGGGACTTTCTAATGCATGGCACTAAGTCAGTAATCCCATGGCTGTCACTTCACAGCTCACAAAAGGTATTGACAGTTTTATTTGGCATTTGTTTAAACAGAAAGCTTTTTTTTTTTTTTTATTCTCCACTCTTCTGTTTCCCTGACCTGAATAGCTTTGGTTGGGACAGCTGAAAATAGAAATATCAGGCTTTGTGACTATTAATAATGGCAGTTACATATCAAACCTTCCTTCTTTGTTCTGGACAATTTACAGTCTGTGCTTTCTTTTCTTTATCAGGAGAACTGGGATTTTCCTGTATCTTATGTCTTGAGCTTTCATTTAATTACTGAAAAAAGTCTTAGCTATTCAAACTAGTATTTGAAGTAAAATTAATGTATAATACTCATTCCAAAAGTTCATCAGCACAGAGATCGTTCATCTTGCGGCGCCTCCTTTCCCAACTATTCCACATCCTGCACCAGAACTTGGAAAAATCCAAATGATGGAGATTAATTTTTAGTGCTACAGACCTTCTAAAAAAACACATGCTATAACAGCCTCTTCTTCCTTGAAGTCAGAGACTCTCAGGGTGCTTCTGCGTAACTGCTGCAGTGGCATACACAGAAAGAAGCCTCTCAGGTACTCAGGCCACACCTCAGTCAAGCTAACTAGTTAAAAACAACCCTGTTTTTGAGGAAGTTTAAAAGAAGGGAAGACACTTTAGTCTACAAAGTGCTGATATTTTAACATGTTTTTAATACAAAGCAATGCTTCTAAATGAACTGACAGCTGCCTCCTCATATTTCTGAATGCTGTTCAAGTGCAGTATTAGATTCAATGTTGAACTTTGAGATAACAAAGACAGAAATAACATGTCCAAAGGGATGCCAATACCTTTCTTTGTAAGCTTTTCTTGGAGGAGGCAGAAAAACATCAACAATGGCCAATTCTGCACATTTTATAACTAATGGCATCTAGAGTGAAACTTATTTCTGCCATTACATGCTTACTCTTCAACCTGCATCAGTGAAATGACACAAGACTGATTGGATTTTGATCTCAGAACCGTGCGAATGTCCCTGTTGCTCCTAAACCTTTGCTAGCACGGCTCAGAACCTGCAGCTTTTCTATAAAACTTGTAATCAGTGTTATCAAAAGCTGCAGGTGAAAAAAAAGAATGTTTTGTCTCTGTCTATTGCCCAGATATTGACTGATGCCCAAATATTGACTGATCCTTCTTTGTCCGTGCCAAACCCGAGTGCACATTAATCTGAAGTGACATAATCTCATGATTTTAAGTATTACACATTCTCTTATTACAAAACTGACAGGCTTTTCCATACGTACACACCCAAGGACAGTTAACAACTTTCTTCACAAACATTTATAGAAAACCTGGTAGTTTTCAAGTTTCACAAGAAACAAATTCTTTCTGATAGGCAAAGCATGTTTTACATAAATTAAATCAGATAAAACTCAGTCTTTTATTCCAAAATATTTTATCACAGCCATGCATAACTGACTATATCCAATTTAATTAGACATGCTATTAGTGATTAGTATGATAGTCAATATCTTAAACTCTTTAAAAAAAGATGATCTTATTGCTCCAAATATGTTTCGTGAATTAAAATATTAGTCTATTACATGGATCATTTCACATCTGGCTCTGATTTATCTTGATTTTGATGCAGCAATTAATTCTGTTCAGAACTAAAAGAACAGAAAGATGTAGTCATCTCTGTAGTCTCCAGTTACAGTGGTATTTGATTGAAGAGGTAAGGTTCAAATACATCTTTTTTTTGGCAGTGAACTTTTAGAATCCTTCAAGGCCAGGTTACTTAACAAAATGAAAATACAGTATTAAAAAGAATTACATTTTTTTCTAGTAAAGTAAAATGTGTTTGTTACAGTCACAATATATAGCATTTATCAGCAGTCTGTATGTAAATAAGTAGGTTCACATATTTGATCCCTCTCAGAGCTGTTATCCTCAGTAGCTACTTTGCATAATACAGCAAGATAAAAACTGTTAGAAAACCTAGGAAAGGTTATTTTTATCAGTTGCACTCTCATGAACGAGGACATGTTGTCCAGTACTAATAGATCATATATCTGAACACGCATCCTAGAAAACAGACATTTTGAGCTCTTGATTCTATTCCTGGCCATTTCCTCCCTTCTGCCCCAATTCTAGTATTTTTGGATTGTGAGGCTTTTATAACTGTATCCACTGTGTTCTCTCTCTTTTTTTTCTCTATACATACATGTATATATAAGAAATATGCTATTGCATTAACTTGTGCCTTGCACTATGTTTAATATGACATTTTAAAAATAAGATTTTAAAAAATTTCCTTAGTGATTGCTCAAAACTAGAATTAATGTATACACAGTGATTACAGAGCCTCTCCTTGGTGGTAGTGTTGAAGGAAAAATGTATAGACCTCAGTTCACTTCTGAGCGAGGGCTAGTAAGTCTCGATTGGTGATTAATGCTGAAGGCTGTGCAAGAGCAATGTGAGGAATTTTCTTGCTATTTAATTACTCAGCCACAACATGGGATTTGCAGTAAAATAAGAACTATGGCTACAGGAATTCCCAGGTTATCCTGAGAACAAAATGAATATTTTATTTGAGAACATACAGCTATTCATAGTACAGATGAATGTGAAGGCCACTGCAACATAAACTATAAAACTTGACAACTTTGAGCTGAAAAGTCCTACACTTCTGCAAGGCAGTTTCCACTTCCGCTGAAAGGCAGGCTGAAGTGCACCAAATCCCAGCACTTGTGTTGACTTACAAAGGACCTGACACTAGACAGATCCGCTCAAATTTGGTGAAGTGCTTTTTAATATTTTGTTACCTTACAATGGTTCTTCATTCAGTGGCTCAAAAATGGGTGTTTTTGGTCATGTGGCTTCTACTCTAGGGTTGTATATGCTTAATGCTATAAATAGCTTTTGCTCGTGTCTTGAATATCCCTACGGACTCTCAGCAGAGGGTTAAAAAGCATGTCCTTTCTTCAGGCTCCTTTCTAATTCTGAATACCTACACAAGGAGAACTAGATAGAGGGTGTGGAAACAATAGACAAATACTCTTTAGAAGAGGTATAAGTTGTTTTTTTTCCCCCTGTTGCTAAAATAGAGGCTAGGTTTGCCCACTTGGAGGTGTAGCTATCACTAAGTGACTAGTGATTGTAATGCAGCATCTCATCTTGCTAGATGAGGGCAGAATGACTGAGCATTCACCTCAGGTTTGTTAAAGGAACTGCTTTCAACTTCTCAGATATGGCGGGGTGCCTATAGAATGCATGGCAGGATACATGAAGGCAAAGAGAGACCATGTATTTATATCACTACAGTAAATTCGTTTATTGACACTAACTTCAACAGAACAGACTCCAGAGTTAGCTACGACAGAATTTATTTTTATATCCCTATTCAAGTAGCAGTTTTCTATTTTATCCTCAGAGAAAATTATGATTTCATTCTGCCATACAGGAACAAGTTTTAAGATCCTGAGAAAAATGAGCATTAATTCTTTACTTTTTTAATCTGATTCATGCTTTGTGTATATAAAGCAACCAAAAAGATAAGAGATTCTGATATATTATCACAACAATATTCTGCAAAATAATGACTGCAAGGGAAAAAAAGTAAATGCTATATCCTGGAAGACAGTTTTTCTTATGTAATAACTATTATAATGAAGAGTTTTTTTAACAGGATAAAAAGAGATAGGCACATATTTGGTCTTGCTTGTTGTTTTATCATCCTGAAGTAGTACCATGTTCCTAATACGATTTTGATAGAACCATTTAAATGATATAATTCACTCTAAATTCACTGATTTGCCTTTTACATGTGTGTTCTGTTTAAAATGCTATTTGTGAAATATTCTAGTATTTTATTTATGAAATACTCAAATATTTTATGTGAGAGGTTTCAAACATTCTTGCTTCATTGTTGGAAGTATATGACAAGGCTGCACGGCTCTCAGACGTATATGCAAGGCCCACAACTATGAAATTTATTTTCTTTATGGGTCTGCCAATGCACAAGATCTGTTGTGCACTATATTTTGAATCCTTTTCCAGTTTTGGGCACACTTACCAGCATAGAAACTGAAGGAGGAGGCTGGGACATTGGATATAAAGGATAATCTTAAGCCCGTAGTTTCAAGGCAAGCAGCAGCAATCGCAGCCACAAAAGGAATGCCTCTCATCAGCTGTCTCTGCATTAAGGGTTGCTGATTAGGCATTATATATGTCATGTACATATATATACCTGATCTATTTGTATGTATACCTGGTCTCCATTCAGATAGCTCTGTTTCCACAGCACCTATTCGATTCCAAAACTTCACCTCTTCTCTTCATCCTTATACTTCAGCATATCTAGCATTACCTGGACCGTCATATTCCACATTACATTATTTTAATTAAGCGGCAAAAAAATCCTTACATTGCCCTTGCACAGCCTTCAGAATTAATTGCTGATCACAACTCACCAGCCCTCACTCAGAAGATATGTATATTCTTACTTTAACGTCCCCGGCCCAGAATGGCAAGGAAGGGTTGTAGGTGCTTCAAGGGGCCCTCCAAATCTGTTGAAACATGCTCTGAACCCTGCCAAGGTGCTCCAGCTGGTATCTCCAAACATTTAACTCATCTAATACTGGAAAGAGAGGCAGTGGTGGCAGACAATTTTCAGTGACTCTAGCTCTAGGGCACAGAGCTGAAACTGTTCTTGTGCGTATGTTAACTCTGCATCTCCCCTTTCTCACAAGGAAAGGTTGAAACCAATTTCTAGGTTTCCAGCAGTGTGAAGGTCACTTAGGTTGATGTTCAGAAAGAGAACAAGAACTGAATTTGCCTGAAGGTAACCCATCCCTCCACCCCCATCAAATTGGAGCACTCTATTTCTTGAATATGAAATAAACATACATGAGTGTAATAGCTTTGTTTTGGATAAGCCATCATTACAATCTCAGTATCAAAACTCCATAAAAAAGAGCCTTGTCATATAATAGGTTAACTTAATAATTTAACTTAATAATTCTATTCACTATACAGACAGTTGTTTAAATAAACTGAAATTTAGCATACATGCTGAATACGTATATTCTTACCTGTTATCAAACATGCAAGTAATTTATTCCACATAGATCACAGACCACATAAACCACTTCCACTCAAGGCATTTATAAATATTTAATAAATAAGATTAATAAAAACATTTTTGATAACAGCACCTGCCTAAGGGCTAAGAAAATGGAGGAGGAGAGTAGCCAGACTAACACAGCCCACAAGATTTTCTACTCGAACTGGAACCAACAGGATGTAGATGGTGGTTGGCAGGCTGTCTTTTGAATAGCTGGCTCAACACAGAATAGTTACTCATTATGTGATGGCTACATTATTTAAAGATCTTTCCAATTACATAACATATCCTGGAGGGGGAAAATGTGACTTTCCCACTAAAATCTGAATGACAAAGCTATTACAATTTTTAATTTCATTAGCAAAGAAATGTGGGCTGAAAGTGCTGGTTACAGTTTAGGTTTACAACGTTACAATTCCAACAGCTTCTCCACTCAGGGAAAATTAATAATATTATATCCTGTTGGAACATATTAGGTATCTTTGAAATAGTTAAGTGATTTGTTTTCTTTGAATTACTTTCTGCCAATGTTCAAAACTAACTTTGAAAATCAAACATGAAATTGGTATTGTTTTATATTATTGAAAAAGAAAGATTAATGACATATTTCAGAAATCTAATAATATCAGGCCTTTTTTCCATTGTTCAAGTTGTACGTAATCCTCGGTGGATTTTAATGTAGCTTTAAAAAGGTATTTAATGTCTGTTTTTCAGTTGCCAAGGGTCAAACATCACCTAGTGTATATAAAGAAAGAGGAAACATCTGTTGGAATAACTTACTTGACTAACACAGAGGGTAGCATTAAAATTCACTAATATCTGTGATATCTAATTTCAATTAACTGTAGTTGCATGCTGAGTGTGACAAAGTTTGCTCACTTTACAAGTAGGTGTATTTGTGCATAGAACAAATTATTGGATCTAATGAAGGAACAATGTGATTTGTGATTATTTTGTAATTGCACATGCTCTAAAAAGAAGATGCTTGTATTTTGATGTAGTTTTTTTTCCCTAAATTTCTTAAGAAAGACACAAAAATTTAACTAATTCCTGAGACTCTTCTCTTTCTATGAAATTCTGTCAGTAACAAGATTAGAGTATGTCTCAAAATTGGAGAGCTGTTTGTCTGGCATGATCACTATGTGCCTTCTGTAGCCCAGGGATTAAAATCCAGAGCAGAGTTCAGTTTCTTTTTAGACCAGAACTTATCTACTGTTATGAAGACCAGAAAATAAGGCTTTGAAGAAAGCAATGCTGTGATACGTAATTCCTCTTAAAAGAAAAGGCAAATATTTTTTGCTTGCAAAAACAAAAACCTGGTGGAAAGTGGTACGCTGTCAAGAATAAATAGCATTAAATGCTTCTCGGTTAAATTTTCAAACATACTAATATATTCTGACTTGAATGTGAAATAAAGTGCTACATTTAGTAAACAAGTCACCAAAGAATACCTATGCCATTTTTTTTTGTTTTTATCTACAGCTTTGTTTAAGTGAGATATTTTGGTAAACCAGCAGAGCCAAGAAATTGTTTAGTCAAAAATATTAAAAGTCCTGAAATAATAGCTTTAGGTGAACCAAACTCAACAAAAATAAGATTACTAGGAAAAACAAAACAAAACAGAAACAAACAAAAAACAGGTAAAACTATAGCTCTGAAACTGCAAATTCCTGTAAGCAGACCTTATTCCCACAAGCCGTTTTACTGGGGTTAGTAGAGGTGCTTCTGTGCATACGGAATATGGAATGTCCTAAATTCTGACTTGTTTAAACTCTTATTGTTTCAAAGTCTGTAAGGCACAGGCATCAGGCTTCATTTCTTGATTATCTTGAGGGTCTTCAGCTGATGCTACTGGAAAACCTAACCACGTAAATAACATACCAGAACATTTTTATTACTAGTAAGCTACAATGATGAGAAGTTGTTTCTTTTCTGCCTACTACCGTCTACATCGCACCAACCTTTACTGATGCTGTCATCAGCAACTAGACTTAAAAGAATCGAGTTCTGTATTATTTTACCTTTTTGGAGGACATAATACAGGAATCAAATGCATATGACAGAAGCCAGTAACACTGGAGTAAAATTATTACGATTAGCTAGCCTGCTGATAGGGTTTTTTAACCAGAAACCAAAAACTATTACCCTTTCTGAGAAATAAAGACAATGAACATAGCATGGTTAAAATAATAATAATAATAAAATCTAATTTAGAATGAGATTCTACCTGCATGTACATGTTTTCCAATTGATTCAGTAAGAGCGAAGAGTGAAGATGCCTGAGAGGAACATACCTGAGAATTCCTACAACTTCATTTTCTTCATAGGTTCTTGGCAGAGGTTTTCTTCTATCTTTACCTATCTCAGACAAAATTAAAGAATTTGACCTTTCTTTCACAGATGGGCTGTAGTAAAAGGGAATAGTGGAATTACGTGTTTCAAACTCACCTATGGGAGAAAAAGAATTAGTGATTAATGCAATATTCCATTCCTGTTTTATTGAATGTGATTGATCACAGGCTGCAATACATTTTATTATCTAAAAGACTTCAATAAATTTTGGAATAAAACACTAAAAATTTGATAATTGTGAAACTCTGTTTGACATTTTGGAAATGCTGCAACATGGATGCAGGTGCATATTAAAGCAAAAATTCACCAAAACGTAGAAGTTTGTAAAAGTCAAATTGCTTTTCTTGCCATTCTCTTTAATCTAAATTAATGATAACCATAAGTCGTCACAGTTAAATAATTGTCACTAAAATAATCCATTGCAAATGCAAGAAACAATCTTTAATCTTTTAGCATTGGTATAACCAAGATGACTAACATTTTATTGCTTGTAAAATAATTATTTACTCTGATAGAGAGGCTATCCTGATAAAGAGGATAAAATCCCTTTGCCTTTAATTGCATTATAATCCCCAGGGGTGCAGACTGTAGCTGCTGAACGGTTTAATACAGATCTGCAGGTCATAATGTAAAGCAGAATAATTCTAACCAACTGAGACAAAAAGCGGAGCTAATCACTATAAAGTCACCTTCAACAGAATTTCTGTGAGATTTGAAGATAAATACCAGTAGTCTCAAAAAACAAACAAAAAAACCCAAACTCTCACATAGTGACTTTTTAGTTACTGCAAAATGATTAGCACAAACTTTCAAATGTTATTTAAGAGAGTAAATTCAATTACATAGCACTCCCTCGTATCAATATTCAAATGGTAAAATATTGTTTTCATAACTATTGGCATTCACATCCCGCTTCCAAATACTGAGGGGTGAGACAGAAAGGCTGAGGATTTTTCACTTCATGTCTTCAAAATGAGCTAATCTTTCTGAGATTTGATGAAATAATAATTTGAGATGGTATAGCTATAAAGAATATGCTGTCTCCCCCAAATTACACAGGTTTATCGTGTGAAAAGGAAAGTGTAACAGCCTCTGATTTTTATTTTATAAATATTATTCAAACTATTGTGAATACTTTATAATATCTGCTTCTAAGTCTTCAAAAGGCAATCTCATTCACACTATTACAGTACTGCTTGTATCCATTAGTCAAGACTTTTTTTTTTTTTAATTTTCTGTCTGTAGTGAACTCCATAATGATGACAGCACTGATCACTTCCAAAAAATCTCAAAGTTCATTTCAGGTTTTCCTTGATTTTCAAAACTGGTGTTTTTTCCCTTTACGAACTTGTTGGCTTATTCTCATCTGCTTAGACTTGCTTCCACTAGCGCTAAATTAACTTAATGGGCTAAATTCGGAGAATAGCACAGTATACAAATGATATAATTCATGCAGATTTATGCTAGAGTGCTTAACAGTTTTTAGGGTATATGAAGGTGATAATGAATATTTACAAAGGTTCATTCAAGATGTTCTTGCTATTCCTTTTCATAAATCTGGGAGGTCGGGATGGGAAAAGGGAAAAAAAAAAAAAAAGATCCAGAACTAAAACTAAATTTTATGTTATAAAAGGCTTATTTCATAATCCTGCATTTTGGGCTTACCACTAACATTAGTCTCATTTCTACTTTAGATTGTGTTAGCTACTATTTTGTTGTTTCTATAATAATCATGAAATAATTGATTAGTTTGCTTACAGAAACCTATATAGGCTGCGTGCTCATTCGTCATTCTTTCTTTGCTTTTTTTCCTGGCACATTTGGAGGCTTTCCAATTCATTAGGAATTGTCTTTCCATTTCTTTAATTTCTTTCCCATCAAGAGATTCTGTAAAAGAAAAGAGAACATTTTCTGTGATAGCAGAAGGTAACTAAAAGGCTATGTAATGTTTAGTGGTTTTATATTTTATTTGTCTTTTTCAGATCTCTTTTGCTCTTTTTAGTGTTTCGGTAAGAAAATGTGATGATATATTACAGCTTGGTACTCCTAATTTAATTATTTGAAAGAATGAGCTGACACTTGAATTACAAAAGAAAGCATCTACTATTTTCATAGTTTTCAAAGGAAATATCTCAAATTCAGTTAAGATGGAATACTGTTTGCAGAAAGTTCTGATGAGGAAGTATGCATTTACACAATTATGCATAGGCAGAGAAATTCAGCATAAGAGAACTACTACTTATGGTGATAAGCATGAGCATGGTTACGTCTAATACAAGGCAAGGCTGAGCAATAAAGCTTGTGTGGCTTGTTAGCAAAGTAATTTTAGCCACATTAGTCGCATTGAACAAATATAAAAAAATCCATCATTTGACATTAATATGTATGATGGCACTAACATGTGTATGTGCATTATGTGTAATACTGCAATTCAAGAAAAGATAATGGTGCAGTTATTTCTAACACGGAGAGGGTTTTAAAGTTCTGGGTGTGTTTTTGGCTTGAATGTTGGTGTTAATTGTTTACCTAAGGTTTGTGACTCTACTATAATCCTGTCCCTGTATTTTGGTCTGTGGCAAAGGGGGTTCCCTGTAAGATCCATGCTGCGTAGCTTGGTCCATTTGTTTAATACAACCTCCAAGTCCTGGAATTAAGAACAGAACAGAACCTTGTCATTACTTTTCCCTTTCTAGGGCAGAATTCAATGATTTGTTCAGTCGGGCCCAAATCTCGCAAACAGAAATAACTTCAAATGCAACCATTGAAGTGCATAAACTAAGAATTTGTATCTTCAGCTAAAGTACTGCATAGCATTTTCTGAGGGCATCATAATTGCACAGAAGAAATGGTGATGCAATTGGAAAACTCTGTTTTTAAGGGTATAGCAATGCCAGCTGTAAAAAATCAACTCTAATCCCACTCCTAAGCACCTGAAGCTACTCCTAAGCACCTAAAGCTGAAAGATCACCAGTAAAAACAGTTAAATGTTAATATTTTATATAACTCTGTCAACAAATAGCCATGGTGTCACAGAGCCATTAGATTATCACAGTGGCTGATTAGATTTTGAAAAACTTGAGGAATAAGTATTTTATATTGAAAAAAATAGATTTTATAAAGCTAA